CTCCTAATTTGTCCTTTCTGTTTGAACTGAGGGCCCTCTGCCACAGAAGAAAGAGGAAAATCAAAGGGGAGAATAAAAGAGTGGGTAATATTAAATTAAATTAGAACCAAATGAGGCAAGTGGCAGTCTGTCCAAAACCACTTTACACCCAGGCCCTCTGGGCATTGCCCGTCTTTTTCCAGTAAGAAATTAGTGATTTCTCTCTGTTCTTTTATAATTCTTTGTGCGCAGCTCATAAGGATTAACACTACACACCCAGCCCAACACAGTGCTAAGTATTACAATGTGTGTTTGCTCATTTATATGAGTGAGTGCGAATATTAAGAAGAAAATCAGACATGCAGGCTGGAGTTTCTGCCGCTCTGAGACTCTGGTGTTAATGTAACGGCTGAGGGTTGGACTCTGTCCGGACTTCAAAGTTAAGACGTCATCCTCGCAGCGCTGTCAGCGGGCTCTTATCCTCTAAGACAGTTTGGCTCCAGCGCTTTCTGCATAACACACACACACCGGAGCCGCCGCTCACGGGGGACCGACTTCTCTTTGCTCAGATTTTCACTGCAGAGGAGCTGCTGAAACGCAGATCGGTGTCAGAATGAGACGTTACAGAGTTTCCTCTGCAGGACGAAGGTTTGGAAACTAAAAACTACCTGAATGGTTTGAACTTGTTCAACAGTACAGAGGAATAAACCAGAAGTTTACATACACCAGTAAACGGACACACTGTTCAGGTAAATCAGACCAGAAATGTGATTTTTAGATGAGTTCAAATGACCAAAAATATTTCCACACTGCAAAAACACAAAACCCTACCAAGTATTTTTGGTTTGGTTTCTAGTGGAAGTATCTCAGTTCAATTCAAATAAGACAAAACTAACTTGCACATAACTTTACAGCAGTTAATACTTCCTTAAAATTGGTGGAAAAGTAATTATTCTGTTAGATTTTTTCACTTATAAAACATTTTCCCATGTTGGTAAATGAAACTCTTTTTCATCAACATTAAACTTTTATAGACTTAAACTCTTATTTCTTACTGGAAAGTTATTTCTGTCTTATTTCAAGTGTACTCAGATATTTGCAGTAGAATTAGACCAGAAGTTTTGGTGGGATTTTGTGTTTTTGCAGTGCATTCGTTAAACAACTCAATCATAGAGATTATTTATTAACATCAGGAGTTTACAGACGTTTCCTCGGTGTAATGTTGCCTTTAACTGTTTGATTTGGGTTTGTCCCAGTAGCTTGCTGGAGTTCTGGTCCGTTCTTCCGGACAGAACCGGTCCGACTGGGTCAGGTCTGGCTTGTTTCTCCAGAGGATTGAGACCAAGGCTGAGATCCGAAAACATCAGCTTTGTCGTCTGAAGCCCCTCCGGCTGAAGGCTTCGGGTCGTCGTCCATTTGGAAGACAGGTTTTCACCCAACATTTCATGAAGTGGGTTTGGGTCCCTCCTGCAGCCAACAGCCCCCAGCATGATGCTGCCACTCCCACATTATGCATCTTGGATGGTGTAAGTGTCTCCACTTTTACTGAAAACAATCATTCTGGCCAAACGGGTCCGCTGGAGTTTTATCAGACCACAGGACATGTCCCCCTGTCCCCCTGTCCCATGGATCCTTTCTGTCCATGTCCCCTTTCTGAGGCTGATTTGGACATTTCAGAGCAGGACCCGTCTCCCTCCTGAGTGGACGCATGGTTGGACTTTCCCTTTGCACAGATTGTTTGACCAGATGAAGGCTGAACCAGACTGGAGCAGCTCCATGATTCTCTTCCCAATATCTGGGATGATTTTATTTCTCTGTGTGTGAAACCAGAAGCGGTGAGCTCCAGGTGTGACCTCACCGATGTGTCAGCTAACTTATTCACCTCTTCTGACCGGTTTGGTACAAAGAATGTTTATCATTTTTACCACATGACACAAAGATATAAAAGTTTTAAATGAACCTTTATTGGCTTAGTTCTCACAAGTCTGAACTGGAACTGATCGGCGCCATCTTGGTAGGCAAACATGGACAACGCACAGCAGACGCACGGCTTCAAAACCAACAAAAAGAAAATATGTGGACACTCAGTGTGAGATAAAGAGACACGAACAAAATGGCTGCTGTTGGGATCGAGCCGCATGAGACGGAGAAGGAAAACATGTCAGACGATGTGAAAGTCAACGCCGACCTCCTGCTGTGACTCACTGAACACCATGGAGGAGCTTCGTCTGGATGCGTACAATCAATGTTTAAATGGGTTTGTAAAGGAATAAAGTTCTGGCAGAGCAACAAACCCGAAGGCTACATCTCCGTCTTAGCTAGCAGATAAAAGCTAAGCTAAGCTATTTGTGCAGCTATACTACAGTAAATATCACCGATATTTCCTTATTATTACACAGAGGTGGGTACTCAAAACCTGTAACAGAGTCATAGCTGTAATGTACTTGTATTGTTTCTAAGTTATAACGAGAAGAGAGATGAGAAATATCACCATATGAAATATGCAGCAGCCTGAAGAGCATCTGAACCCGGACCCGGTTTGACCATTTAACAGGTTACATTTCTGGCACAGACAACAGGAAGCATAAAAGTCAAAGAATTGGAGGAATGCAGTCGGACCCGTTTTGTCGATGACTGAGCGTTCCCCTCCGGCCTCCGTCTACCTGACTCAGCCCTCCGCTTCCGCTCTCTCGTGCTTCGGCCTCTTTTTTCTCGCTGCGTCACAAAGGGAGAGTCACGCTGATGTAACGGCGTCTCGGCGCAGGGAGAAAGTTGGACTCCAGCTGGATCTGCGCCCCTCCCTTTAAACGAGCGCGTCCAATCCACCCGCAGCGCTCCATAAAAACCAGACCACATCAACCGGGCCTGAACTTTAAAGGCCAGGTCCCCTTTCCTGCGGCAGGGGAGGAAAACACGGAGCGGAGGACCTCACACTGCAGGCGCACACCTCAGCTCTTTCACGTAGCACCACGTTTCTGCTGCCGGACCACACATCGCAGTGACACTCAGAGACCACACAGTCCGTCTCACAGTCCAACAAAAGATCTCTAAGACCTCACAGCGGGTCCAGCGTGATTTGACAGGACCGCAGAGAATCCCACACCTGTAGCTCCACAAACCGCAAAGTAACTCCGCCGAGCAGCTACTGCAGGGGAGCTACGGCTCAGCTCCCAACTGACCATCATCTGCAGCCTCATACCTTAAATAGGAATGTTTTATGTGATCAGTCCTTTTCTGTTCAATGCTCCCAATAAGGGAAGCCTTATACTTGCCTAATTTTCTGTATTTGTTCTGACAGCAGACATCCTTACTTTTGAATTGGCCGTTTGCACGTCGCACGACTCGCTCTGCCATGACAGACGTCAACACAACCGATGGGATCCTGACTGGTCTGAAAAAAGTCGCTTCATTTTAAACTGATTCCACTTTATGTCAAATGAAGCTGCACAGACAGACAAGGATGAAAACCAAACCTGTCATTTTGTTTTATTACTTCTGAGAAATAAAACACACAAAATGAAACTTCTGCAGGTGTGACAGATTTATAAGAAATCTGCTGAGTAAGCAGTATGTGACGTAACATCGATGAGCGCATTGCCACAAGGTACGACAGACAGTCAGAACACCGGCCCCAAAGAGCCGACCACCACTTCAAGGTTGACTTAAAAACAAGGGGAAGATCCAGACCTTTGTTCCCAGCAGTGAGGAAAAGCCAAGAAAACGTAAGCAGGAAGTTCGGGGAGGCGGCCAGATGGACGAACAGCGGGGCGAACGGGGAGACGAACGAGCCGAGGCCAGAAGGATTCCCGGGCCTCGACCTGGAAATCTTTCAAGTTCCTTTCATCGGCTGGCTGACGACGGAAACTTTACAAGAGCCAGATGAGCCGGCGCCGCCGGAGCAACGCGGCGGTCCTCAACGACACCAAGATGCCGCGGCATCACGTTCCCTCCCCAGGACGCCGAGACGCCGGGCACCGGCCCGCAGCAGAACCGATCCTCTGAACCGGTTTGGCCTAATGAGCGGTACGGCCTGGAAATCCGCTGCGATCAGATAAATCTGCTCTTCGAGAAAATCCCTTTACAATCTGGAAAACTCATGGCCACCGACATGTGTTTAAGACATTCGAGTGCAAAACTCAAGACTTTGAGTTTCATTTTACTTTTAACAGCAGGAAGTTACAGACCTACTGCAGCTCAGCAAATTAGAATATGATCAAAAATGTCATTTACTTCATTTTTTGTGATAAATTACTTTGTATCAGAGTTGGAGACTCGGGTCCTTAACATTTAAACTTAACTTTAAAAAACGTTCAATTTGGTTTTTACACCAATAAGTTGGGACATGAATTGGACTTGAACCTGTTGGGTATTTTACCCAAAATCTAAAGTTTAAAACACATATTATTTATAAAGCAGGCCCCATTAACTCATTTCACTCATTTCACTTTAACCGACGCAGACCAGAGGACATTCAGAGACGGACAGAAATGTCCCTCTGTTCTTCCTGGTGTCTGCTTAACTGCAGCACAACCAAATTAACTGGATTTAAAAATTAAAAAACGAGATGAAAAAACGCCCAAAGCAGATGTTTGTTTCTTTCTGGGTTCATCAATTATGAAGCATCCAACAAGAAATGGAGTGAAACATGAAACCTGCCAGGACAGGATCTCAGATGCACCAGCTGGTCGGCATCTGAAGCGACAGGCGGCGTTTTTCTTCCGCTCCGAGGTCGAAGACTGGAGCTAACTTTGTTTTTAGCAGCTGGTGATCCCGCCGGCCTTCCCCTGTATGCTGAGTGTTAGCTCAGGAGCGCAGTGAGCGGGTCCGGATCAGAAAGCAGGTTCTGGACCTGAACCCAGGGAAGACAGTTTCTCTGTCCCATCTCAAAGCTGACCTCCTCCAAGCCGCGCCGCATTACTGCAGTAATTCATGTGAAATGAATCCCTCTGCGTTAGTTTGAGCTTTAAATGGGCCACACACTGTTCACCGTTTCGTGATGAAGACACTGAAAGACGTCTTACCAGTCCACACTCAGAGATCGTCTTCTGTAGGACGACGGTCGGTCTGAAGACGTCTTCTCTGGTTTGGCTGGTCGCTCTTTCAGGGAGAGTCGATGAGTGAATTTGGAGATTCCCGACTCGGACCTGGACGGCAGAACAACAACAGAAGGAAACATTAAGATCCAACAGGCGGAAAAGGATAAAAGATTCATCCCAAAGTGAGGCCGTCGTCTACGGAAACATTTTTATAACATGAGCCTTTGTTTTCCGTGTCTATGAACGTCTTAGTAGAAATTAAAAACTTCTTGTTTTTCTGAGGATCCATTTTATAGCCGTTGCACAAAGTGACCAGGATGGTAAAAACAAATCCTTGGTTTAAGACTCCAGTGGCGTTTGGGAGGGATGTCATGAAAAAACAAACTTTTCTGCACAATTAAAAATGTGGATTTGCTAAACTGCTTGGGGTTTTCAGCAGGAGCCATTTTATGGGACCAGATGAAACAAAAATGTAACTTTTTGGCCTGGAAAAGATTAACATAAAACCAGCTCTGTCTAAGGTACGGGAGAGGATCTGTGATGCTGTGTGAGTGATTTCATTTTAAATAAGACCCCAGTGACCTCAGCTAGCTGGGTCTTTCACCAGGATAACGATCCAAGTCACAGCCAAACCACCGAATCCTGACCTGAGAAGCTGAACTTCAGGAAAACAAACCCAGTTAGAAGACCAAACGTTGTCCTTTAACAAGTATTAACACGAGAAGCGGCCATCAGTTAATTTACAAATAGATTCATGGGGTTCATGTTTTCCCCCTGGAACAAATGCAGCCAAATTAAAAGTTGGATTTTTCCAAATCATCCACTGAGTTGAAACTTCTGCAATAAATGAAATAATGTTATAATAACTCCACTGGGTGCCGTTAATCTTCATGAAAACAGAGAAAATGTTTCAGAAACAGCCGTTCTCAAAGACAAACAGCTCACAATGCTTCAGGTCTCTGAGGAAACATGGAGTTTCAGGGGAAAGCCACATTCTTCTTGCCTCATTTTCCCTCAATCTTCCTCAAAGAAAAAAAATCCCACACATTTTAATCTCCTCTGTTGGGCCGACGACGTCCCAGCTCAACTTTTTCTCAAAATTAAAAACAGGAAATGTAATATTTTGGTTTATTCTTGCCCGGAATACATTTGATGAGGCTGCGTAATATTGCTGCAGTTACACTGGAGACTAATCAAAATGAATTATTGTGCTCCATCAAAGAGCCGGGCTCAAAACGAGGAAATCCACTCAGCACCAGAGCTGGAGACGTGGAAACTCACAACGACTTTTAAGATACGAAACTTCAGCAACAAACCGTGGAGAACGGTAGGGGTGCTACAAAGTAAATAATAATTAAAGAAATAATAATAATTAGTGACTTTTCTAAAAAGACGAGGCTTCTTTTCTCTTTTGATGCACAAAAACTTACAGAATTCTTTTCAATGTTTATGGTTGACAAAGTTTGATTTGTTTACAGAAAAGACATTTCTGATATTCTGAGTATATTCATAAAATCAGCGAGTTTCAAGGGGAGGAAATGCAACATGTAAGGGACGCAGGGAAACAGCGCCCTCACAGGTTAGTTTGTGCTACAGCGATGGAGTCAACAGCCAGACCAGCGAGGCGACTGGTGGACAGATTGAGATTCTTCTTTTGCTTCCCTCAGTTTGTGTAAAATCTATTATGATATCCTCAGATTAATGAAGTCTCTGTCCAAACTGTCACTTCATGGTTGTTTCCTGCAAAAATGACCCATTAGTGATTTTCTTTCTCAGTGTCTGAGCTAAATGAATGAAACTGTGGTTTGATTGCATATCAGTCTGTTTACTTTCCTCATTCTCTGCATGTCTGACATCATCTTGAAATGACCTTCAGGACTAAACAAAAGCACTTTTAAATCCCTGTGCAGAGTGCCTGTTTGCTAGGTCTCAAGCCAACGCCTCTCCATCATTTCTTTGTACTTCCTCCTTCTCACCGCACAAATTGACGTATAAATGTTTTTTCTACAAGCTTTTCCTAAAACTACAATCAGTCTGGCAGCCGTTATTTTATGTGTTGACAGCCAAGTTTAGCGTTTGGTACCTAGAATCATCGGTCCATTGATCATATAATTACACAATCTGACATTTGAAAAAAAAATTGCTTAATGGAAACAAACCAATTCAGAAGAAACGCTCGTCTTTCAATAACAGGTTTTGGTGCCAGGGGGAGGTGGGGGTTTTTTTGCCCAAAATGAAATTGATTTATTTTGAAAAACTAAAATGGAGTCACTCTTTCGCATCACGAATCACATGATCAACAGCAGGATGTTACTACAAACCACAAAGAAGAAGACAGGAAGTAGCTTCCTAATGACTTATCACATAAACAAACTTATTCAAGTATCACTGGAATAAGGAAACACCATAATTATGAAATGGTGTTTTCTCGACATTAGAGGAATATTGTCAAAGTTTGATGCACATCTGTAAAGGAAACTCAGCCGGTGACGTTCATCTGCTGCGTTTCTTTTTAATAAAACCATCATGAGTTCCCAGCCCGAACACGATTTAAAAGGAAAATGTGTAGAAATCATGAAATATGCTCTTTAAAACAGACAGTGCAACGCTGCATGCCTGCACAGTTGCTTTTAAAAAAACTGACATAATTATATGACTCATCTGTTGCCCTGACACCGGAGATCTTTAAACAATTCACATCTTGTAAATATTTCAAAGCCTTTTAATTCATGTACAGTCAGTGTTTCTCTTTTTAAATACAGTAGAAATGAAAATGCCCAGAGTCTCTCTATATTTCTAATAAAGCAGAAAAGTCCGTTACTGTCGCCGTCCCACTCCAGCGTCCTGCACATTATTCCTGCCTCAGCGCCAGAATCTCCAAACAGCAAAGACAAAGGCATATTTTCCTATGTGAATCATCCAGAAGGAGCTGAAGGATTTTTGGCAGATTGGTGATGAGCTCCTAATTCAGCGCATTAAGTCCAGGCGCGGCTTCGCCGTCCACTTCAATGCTGTGTGTGAACGCAACTGCAAGCTACTGGTGTTGATTTTCACCTACGTCAACAGCAGCTCTCTGTTCACAGGGTAACTGTAATTAAGTCAGGATTTTCTGCAGTGATCTGGTTCAGATCATCTTTTGTTGTTAATGGACGGTTTGGTTTTTATGCGTCTAATAGGCTTTAATCTGTGGCCGGTGCATAAAATAAGAGTCCCTTACAGAAGTTCAAACACATTTTTTCGAGCAAACAGATGACACAACATGACCGTGGGCCCAAAGGATGAGAAGGGTAATGCTTAGAAACACAACGGATGACGACATCAAACGCCTCGGAGGGGCAGAGGACACAGAAAAGGTCCAAGGGAATTCCTTTGAGGGGCCGAGATGAAGAAACGCAGATGAGAAGCAGGTGGGATTGGTGGCAACTGGCGGGTTGGAGATCGGCTCCATGACAGCCTGAGTCCTGGATCGACCCCATGCAGCTGTCCCCGATAACACACACACACACACGCACACACACACACACACACACACACACACACACACACACACACACCATGATGATGAAATCTTCTTGGAAGCCCACTCAGGGTGTCCTGGTGAATCACTCTCCCAGCAGAACTGGATTTGCTTTTATTTCCTGCTGCTGACCTCAGTTCAGGAAATCAGTAAAACAAAAGATAAATCTTCCAAATGTAATTGAGACAGGAGGGAAAAGCATATCTTCCACATCTGGGCAAGTTTATTCAATATGAAACTGTAACAAAATAAAATTTTTGTACAAGGAAATCAGAACTTTACACTGTAAAAACACACTGAGTAAATTTGGTCAAACGTTTGGTGCAAATATGCAAGAACGCTTGAAAAAAGACAAAACTCACAAGCGGCTTTTCAGCAAGATAGGAGCTTATTTTGAGTCAATAATTCCTTAATACTGATGAAAATGCTCTGGTTCAGATTATTTCATTTATTACACAGGAAAAAAATCTCCTAACCGCTGAAGGTTGTTACTGTGATGCACCAAACCAAACATGAAGGACTTTGTAAGGCAAAGTGTGGGACATCATTTAAAAGCTTCATTTGTCATTGTGTTTACTAATTCCCTGCCTGATGTGTCAGAGTTGATACTGATGAACATTTCTGCTAAATGACTGAGGTTAAAAAACATTTAATTCATACATGCAATATGTAACGTTTCTGTACTATTTTCTGGTAAAGATTGTTCCACAAATGTAGTCTTGTGTAAATTTTAAACGTACATAAAGTTACTTACCGTTGCTGTGTTTTTTAATAGTAAAATCTGAAACATGCTCCTGTTAAAGAGCTAAAACCTGCAGAAGCCCAGAAAGTTTGACAAAATGCAGGAGCCACAGCATAAGTTCGGCTCAAATGAAACTTACGCTGTCACTTCCACTTCAGCACAACTTCTGTTGTGGCTTTTGCATTCTGCTGGTCCTTCTGGGCCACCATACAGACTCTGTCATGACTCCCTCCAAGCTTCAGGCATTCGTTTTGTTCTGACTGGAGCTGCATGGTGTTCAATCACCAAATAAGATGTGATAACCAATCTCAAAACAATATATTTCTGCTGCTTATCAGGGCTGATATGATTTTAGCAGCGCCTGTAACTTTCCGGAGTTTTGCAACACAAGCGCGTCTTTGTCAGCTGTGAACTGCTGGTGTGATGATTTGGTGGAGTGTTGAAATTCTCTCACATTCCCCCTCCTTCCTTCACACAAACATTCACAGCTCACCTAATGTTGCCTTCCCTCTCTGTTTCACCGCCATGACAGCAATCAGCTGCTCAGAGGGATCCGTGTGCAGCAGCTCAGCTAAAGCACCGATTGTTCTCGCTCTCACTGCACAAAGCTGCAGACCCACTGCTGCTCTCACAAAGCAAACATTGATGATCGTCATGAATTATAGAATCGGTTTTTTTATAAACGCTCAAGCATCCCATATCAAGCACTGTAAAAAGTTAGAAACGGAGTTGGACTGAAATGTGACGTCTGTTTGATGGGCAGACGTATGAAAACCACGGTGGATGTGTTCAACAACAAAACCTAAAAATAGAAAAATAAATTAGTTTCTAACAGAGACGTCTGCTCTG